GGATTTTCCCCAAAATATAGTTAAAATATGAATATTTAGGGTTTATTATGTTAAAATACGAGTTTGGGTGAAAATGCCGCGTTAAAATCTCGAAAAACGGGCTTAAAACGAAGTTTGGGTCAAAAACCGGCAATAGGGACCGAAGGTGCGAAGGTTCGGCTCCTTAGGAGCATAGAACCGAAGGTAGGGTTCGGTTGTGTGTTGGAACCGAGAGTAGGGTTCGGTCTCAGCTTTGCCTCTCGGAACCGAAGGTTGCATTCTCGGACCGAAGGTCATTCTTGTCAGAACCGACTCTTGTCAGAAGCGAAGGTAAAGTTCGGTCCAGGAGGCTTCTTAGGGTTTCGACTCTAAGAGGTTTCGGTTCCTTAAGGGAGGTTCGACTCCTTAAGAGGTTCGGCTCCTTAAGAGGGTTCGACTCCTTAAGGCTGTTTTTCGCGTAGACTTCCGTTTTCGAGCTGTTTTCGTCAAATTCGAGGGTCGGGATGCCCCGAGTGATTATAAAAAGTTAAGAGAGATTTTGAGAGAGATTTTGGAGAGATTTTACACACTTGGAGAGATTTCTCATACAGAGAGAGATTTGGGAGAGATTTCACACACTTGGAGAGATTTCTCATACAGAGAGAGATTTGGAAGAGATTTCACATTCTTGGAGAGATTTGGGAGAGATTTCACATTCTTGGAGAGATTTCTCATACAGAGAGAGATTTGGGAGAGATTTCACATTCTTGGAGAGATTTGGGAGAGATTTCACATACTTGGAGAGATTTCTCATACAGAGAGAGATTTGGGAGAGATTTCACACACTTGGAGAGATTTCTCATACAGAGAGAGATTTGGGAGAGATTTCATATTCTTGGAGAGATTTGGGAGAGATTTCATATTCTTGGAGAGACTTCTCATACAGAGAGAGATTTGGGAGATATTTCACATTCTTGGAGAGATTTGGGAGAGATTTCACATTCTTGGAGAGATTTCTCATACAGAGAGAGATTTGGGAGAGATTTCGCATACTTAGGGAGATTTGGGAGAGATTTGAGAGAGATCTCGATTGCGACCTTTTTAAGTGTTTGGGTTTGTAACGCAAGGTTTGTACATTCCCGTTAAGTCTCGTTATGGTTGTTATATGCCCCCGAGGGTTAAGGAATAATGTTTTATCGAGTAGTTTCATCACTTGCCCTGATTAGGGTTTAGAATTTCCGAACACGTGAAAACTCTAAGTGATACTTTGTATTAAGATTGCGAGTACAATAAGAAATATAATGGAAACCCTAATATACAAGGGTTAGATAAGTTGACCGGTTTGACTTGTTGACTTTAGGTTACTTTGACTTGGCCAAAAAAAATTGATGGTTGTCACACACACATTCTCGGTCTTGGGATTTAAGGCTACATAACTTTTTATAAGGAAAATATGGGATTTTCTTTGGAAACGCATTACGATTATAAACATCATAAGTACAAAACACACACTCATATTCTCGGTCTTGGGAGTTAAGGCTACATAACTTTTATAAGGAAATAAGGGATTTTTCTTGAAGTATACATGACAAAGTACCCGATTTATTACTAAATGGCTTTCATGATATTAAAACTACGTTTCATCTAGAATTGTTAGACTCCAGCTATAATTTGCTAAGAGTGCATGTTAGAGTTATATATGAATTTAGTCGCAATCGACCTAGAATTGGTGGGCCCGCCTGACTTCCTGTTCCTTGTTTGGTTGTGGACCTAGGGCAGACCCATTATATTCGACAGTTTATTTAACTTAAATTTTATATAACTTATATACACTGGGTGATTATAGAAGGAATCTACAGGTCTTTCTAGGGTACATTATTGCAAAACATAGGAGAGTTCATTTCGCGTTTAATAAAGAAAATATTGAATTTTCTGGAATCATACTCTATCGCTTTTTACAAAGAAAACGATTTTTTTCTCAAATAAATCTCTTATGAACTCACCAACTTAATTGTTGACATATTTTCAAACTACTTGTATTCTCAGGAATTCAGTGAAACAAGAAATCAACCGCTTTTGAGGATGGGACGTTAAATCGTCAAACATTTCATTTTGTCATCATAGTGTAATTGATTTGAAACATGTAAAAACATACTATGGTATAAAATTTTCAATTATATTTATGATGGTTGTATTTACTTTGAGCACTATTATACTCGTTGTTGTGATACTATACATGAAGTCCTCCACCCCCGGACGTTTCCGCCATCCTTGGTTTGGGGGTGTGACAAGGCCTCCTTGGCCAAAATTAGAGTGGGATTCCAGTCCTAATTTCATCCCCTTTATATCCAAGAGAGTTCACAGCCCAAAACCAACTATCACACAATTGACAGTTCCAGTCCCCTTTATTTAATTAATCTCTTTTAGCCACATAATTAATTCTTAATTAATTATTGTCCAATATTAATTAAACTATATGATTTCTCTTTTAATATATTATTCATATAATATATTAATAAACCATAATAACCTCTCTCTCTCTCTCTCCATAAATCATCATGTCAAGTTGCTTTGGTGAAGGCAACCCAAAAGGACCATGCACAACCGGGTCAAGTACATACCAAATATAGTTACGGGCTTAGACACTAATCCAACAGCTACGACAGTTTGAAGTTTTGGCAAGTTTAATACTTATTTTGAAATGTGTGGCAGTTGAGTACGCGGGGCGTAATTATGTGTACGCTCGGCGTACTCATATGCGTGGAAGGGGCGCGAAGGCCACCTAGTACGCTGGGCGTACTAGGTCCTAAAAGAAAACTCTAATATTTTGGAGTATCCCTATTTAAGGAACAATATGTCTTCATATTCAGCCACCATTTCCAGCATCTTACCTCTCTCAAAACCCTAAATCTCGTTTCTTAGCTTGTGTGAGCATTGGAGGCTTATGGAGTGATCTTGTGGAATTCTTTTGAGAAGAAGGAACTTTGAAGGAAGAAGAGTTGACGTTCAAGCTTTTGGATCCGAATTTCCTTGTGGATGGAGCATCATTCAGAGGTATCTAGCTCAAAGCTTTGCTCTTATTTTGCATAGTTCATTTAATGGTCCATTTTAGGGTTTATGTCCCCAAAGCTTGAAGCTTTATGAGTTAGTTAACCCCAGAGCCTTATACCTGTCCTCCTTGATGTCTTTGGACGGTAGAGTTCATAAAAATGGAGTCTTGGTCATCAAGATCTCCCCATCTATGAGATATGAGGATTTTATGGTGAAAAAGTGAGAGTTTATGAGATATTGACTTGTTCAGCCTTGATAGGAATTAAAGTCACCAACTTTATGCTATAAGAGACTTCATTTGACCGAGATCTGAGATGGTAGCCTTTGTCTTATTGGGTTAAGACCAATTGAGTGGGATAAGCGAGTCTGGGACGTACGTCGAGCGTACTCCCAGCTACGCGTAGCGTAGCACCGAGCCACCCCCCGTTGCATGCATGGCTAGATGTACGCCCAGCGTAGAGGGACGTACGCCCAACGTACGCATCTAGTGTTGACCACCCGTTGACTTTTAGGGTTTCGAGCAAATGTGGACTTTGAGGGGCAAAATGCTCTTTTCACCTTCCTGGGATTTAGTAAAGGATTTTTGGGCTTTAGGGTTAGGTCCATTTAAGGTTGGGCCCAATTGGGAAGATTAGGCCATTAGTGGGCCCTTGTGTTGGGCTTGCCTTTTTGACTTAATTTTAAGGGTTGGGCCTTGGGTGGGCCCATTTAGTATTGGGCCTTGGTGGGCCCAAGGGGTTTGGGTTATTTGCGGACCGAGTTGGTGGGCTATCTTTAGACCTAATGAGTGAGGGTATGGTCTTAGATCCTAATGGGGTTAACTGTGGGTTTGGCACAGTGTTAGAGGCTGGTGTGCAGCAGCAGCATTTATAGGAGTTGTTCATCATCCGAGGTGAGTCTTCTCACTATACTTACCATGAGTGGTATCTTTGTGTGACTGAGATGTCTTATGTGCTTACCTGTGTATTGTGATATTCTGCATTATGTCTTTGTGATTTTGTGCCGAGTATTATTATTATGAGCTTATTGAGTTAGGACTGGAGGGTCCACCCGAGTTTTGGGACCGGAGGGTCCCACTGATACACATTGACCGGAGGGTCTTATCTGAGTATAGCCATGAGAGGCTATTGAGATATGTGTGATATTTTGGGGAACTCACTAAGCTTCGTGCTTACCGTGTTATGTGATATGTGTTTCAGGTTTTTCTCAGGATCGCGGGAAGGCACTGGCTCGATTGTACACACCAGAGAAAGAGTTATGTTTTGAGGATCCTGGATTATTAATCAAACAATTATGGAGTTGCGTTTTGTAAATTAAATAAATGAGATTTTGTGAAACGTGTTATGAGAAATTATGTGATTTTAAATAAAATAAATTTGTTTGAAAAATTTACGGTGTTACAAAGTTTATACAAAGATTAGGGAAAAAAATTGAAATATTACTTGAGTTCCATATCCATCCGATAACACATCGGAGTGCAGCTGCTCCAGGAATCGAGATCGCCGCGACATTTTCCGTTCGACGTCCGCGCAATTTCCTTCGCGAATCGAATGCCCTAGCCTCCTTCTGCGGAGCTGTGTAACGTAAAGGGGTATTTTTTTTTAATTTACAAATTTACCCCTGTAATTCCGCATAACAAGTCGATGCCACATAAAATCCGCAGAGTTGTAGACGATCCGCAGAGGGTGCTTTGCGGATCCTTTGGTTAATTTCCGAAATCTGTTTTCTCTCAGTTATTTTTTCTTTAAACCACGCCTCATTCTTTTTTGTTATTTTTCGAATCTTGCAAAACAGGGTTAGAAATAAATATAATTTATTATTTTATTTTGTGGGTTGGGGGTTGTTATTTTTGAACTGTGAACATGATCCTCATGAATCCCAATTCGTGATGATGCTTCCTCGCCGACTTACCGAATTCCCAGTGGACCAATCTCTTTCTTTCGAAAGCGTCTCAAAATACTCTTCCTTCAACTTCCTGACCTCAAGTTTTCATGGAAATTATTACAACTCCTAACTTCAATCCCATTTGTCTGCTCCCGAAACTATCCAGGATTCCAGGTTATGTCTTTCCTGAACCTTCTGCAACGTCCATATCAAATTCTTGAAATCTAAACGATAAATTCATCTGGAATTTCTGTCTGTTCAGGGTTCTTGAACGTATGTATCTCATTTCATTTCATTTCAATTTCCATATGCGTCAAGTATCGGGCACGCATAAATGACTTCTCAATCATCGTCCACAAGCTGTGAATTCTCACAGATTTTATGGGTGTCTTCACCATCAATTTGCCCATGTAAGAGAAGAACCCAATCGAGTTTTTGTAGTTCAATAAAGCTCAATTGCTTCATCAGCGGGAAGAGGCTCTCCAAGAGAAGAAAATTTTCGCTAATTCGGGCTTGTGTGGTTCCCAATGATGGAACGAAACATAATCTAAACTTAGAATTTGTGAATTCCACAAAACGTGGTGCTAAACACTATGTTGTGAAGCAAATTTTGGATGATTCATCATCATCTGAAAGTTCAATTCCTTTGAGCTCTTCAAATAGCTTTACTAACTTCAGAGAGGACCCGATTGTAGATAAGCTTAGAACTCAACTTGGGGTCATACACCCTATCCCTTCACCTCCTATAAATCGAAACATTGTTGGATTATTTGTATTCTTTTTCTTTGTCGGAGTTGTGTTCGATAAAATTTGGACATCAAGAAAAAAGAGCAAATCAAGGGATGAAGGGACACCAGGGATATGGCCACAGGTTCCCACTAGTTTTTCTTTGTTCCTTGAGAAAGATTTGCAGAGAAAAGAGTCAGTAGAGTGGGTTAACATGGTGTTGGGGAAGTTATGGAAGGTTTATAGAGGTGGACTTGAAAATTGGGTAATTGGGTTGCTTCAACCAGTTATTGATAACCTAAAGAAACCTGATTATGTGGAGAGAGTTGAAATAAAACAATTCTCATTAGGGAATGAACCATTATCTGTTAGGAATGTTGAACGCAGAACTTCTCGTCGTGTCAATGATTTACAGTAAGTTTTTCCCAGTTGAAACAAAGCAGTTTTCATTGTTATGAGTGGGTAATGAACTATGAGGATAACTTATTATTTCTTTTATTAGTTTAAGTTTAGACTAATCTAATTCTTTTTGACTGATTTGTTATTATGTTTGTTGTCAAGGTACCAAATAGGACTTCGTTACACTGGTGGGGCCCGTATGCTTTTAATGCTATCACTAAAATTTGGCATAGTTCCAATAAAGGTCCCTGTGGGTGTTAGAGATTTTGACATTGATGGAGAACTTTGGGTTAAATTGAGGTTGATTCCATCAGAGCCATGGGTGGGAGCTGTTTCATGGGCTTTTGTTTCACTTCCAAAAATTAAATTTGAATTGTCACCTTTTCGCTTGTTTAATTTAATGGGTATGTCATTTCTTTACACTTTTTTATCTTAGTACCCTAAAATTAATTTATGGAATATAACTTGTTTCTTTCATGCATGTCCTGACGCCACATCAGCCATCCCTGTGCTCTCCATGTGAGTGATATTATTCTCTTGAGACTATCATCATTTCTCATTGACTTTGCAATTATGTTCCATCTTATTCTATCACAATCTTCTGTACCTTAGTAATTTATTTAATAAACTGAAAAGTAATCCCTCGTATATCAAGTATTTGGATTTTTTTTTTTGTCTGTTTATCCAAATTATCAACTAAAATATCCTCAAATTAAGACAAACGAGGAACTTTGTGGACCAAAAGCTTATATGTAATAAAGATAGGTGCAACGGGAAAGTTTAGTTTTGAATCTTTTCAAAAAAGGAGATGCTGCAATTTATTTGGGAAATCCCAGAAAGGACAAGTTGCATTTTTTAAGGAGGGAGGCCATTTGTTATTTAGAACTTACCTGTGACAATTTCCCATACTACCCTTGAAGCATCTCACTCTTTGTCTCTTCCACCTTCTAACTAGTTGCCCTTTTGTGGGTTTTTTATGATCCAGTTGAGGAAGAGAGACTCTCCAATTCAATTCTAATTGATGTATTTCAGTTACAACTGTATTCGTTAATTGTTGTTGCAGAATTTTCTTTGTCACATGTATGATTTATTTAATTCAGTTTTGGGTTTTCTAATAATATTTAATCTGATCTTGTGTGAAATTTAAGGTTTTTGACAAAACTTTTGACTGAGGATTTGCCACGGCTATTTGTTCGCCCCAACAAGATTGTATTAGACTTTCAAAAAGGAAAAGCAGTGGGCCCCATTCGAAATGATTTCAAGACAGGAGAAATGCAAGAAGGAAATAAAGATTTTGTTGGTGAATTATCAGTTACTCTTGTTGATGCTCGAAAGCTCTCTTATGCCTTCTTTGGTATCTTTTCTTTCTTATATACCCTTTTTATCCCAACAAAGTCCTTTGTGTATATTAAACCTTTAACCCTAATACATCCAAATTCACTTTTTACATATAATTTGCTAAATATTCACTTCTGGATCCTTATCATATTCAGGAAAAACGGATCCGTATGTTGTTCTAAGGCTTGGAGATCAAGTAATACGTAGCAAAAAGAACAGTCAAACAACTGTCATTGGGCCTCCTGGTGAGCCAATATGGAATCAGGTGAGATTTTGAAATGTTGGTTTGAATTTTTGTAGATATAAATGCGGAAAAGTTCCATTTTTTTTTTATAAGATTATATAACAAAGTGGTTTCTTAGACAAAATATGCAATCACGTGTCATTTTAAGACCAAAATATGCAACATTATAATCGGGAATAGGTGACACTGGTTTAATACTTATTTGTGCAACAATGTTTCACCTTTTTACCAATTTATGCAACTGACACATAGTTGATAGTTGAGTATTTCATATAAAAGATCACTTTCTTGCATAAATTTGGAAAAAAGTGAAATGTTGTGTAAATGCGAGTTTACCCCTTTGAAATTTAAAAGTGATATGAATATGTCTTTACTATATTACAGGATTTTTACATGCTAGTTACAAACCCTAGAAGACAAAAATTGTCGATTCAAGTGAAGGATGCTCTTGGATTTGCAGATACGACTGTTGGCACAGGAGAGGTAACATTTTATTTATTTATTTATGCTACCATTTGAACATTGTTTATTTATATTTTGTTTTGGCATAAATCTAACACTTCACGTATGCAATTATGGGTCTGAAGTTTTATCGAATTCTTTTGATGATATTAGTTGGTGTTTAATCATGATAAGATCATCATATCAATGGATAAGTCATACCGTTATGGCGTTATCTTTTTTTGCTGACATGGAACATTTAAAATTTAAACATGTTTCCAGGTTGATCTTGGATCTTTAAAAGACACGGTTCCAACAGACAAAATTGTAGCCCTTCGAGGAGGGTGGGGCCTATTCAGAAAAGGATATGCTGGAGAGATTCTTCTTAGATTAACATATAAAGCATACGTTGAAGATGAAGAAGACGAAAAGACTGAATCCACAAAAAAAGATACAGATGCATCGGATGATGAATTGTCTGATTTAGAACAAGCTGCTCTTACATATGGGCAACGTGTAAGTGATATATCAAATGGAACCAGTAAAGAACCTTTCATGGATGTTTTAGCAGCTCTACTTGTTAGTGAAGAGTTTCAAGGCATTGTGGCTTCTGAAACAGCAAATGCTAAATCTTCTAATGATTTTATCAACTCCGAGTTAAAAGAGAGATCACGTGGTGCAGTTGTAGCACCCGAAGTTTCTGATTCTCAGAGTGGGTCTAGAGGTAGCAATTTGTTGTCTTTCAAATGTTTTTTTTTTTTTTTTTTTTCTTTTTCTTTATAAATTATTTTTTGTAATATTTGACTGTGGATGTTTTTTGCAGAGTCGGTGTTGATTTGGCTTGCTGTGATCACGAGTATTTCGATCCTTATAGCGCTCAATGTGGGTGGCTCAAGTATTTTTAACCCGTGATGTGAAAGCTTCGGGTTTTATAGTAAGTATCTTTTTATCTTTTTGGCTACTTTTGAATGTACAAGATAAAGATGAAGATATTGTGTTTGACATGCGTTTGGACTGGGACCGGGACTCTGATGTCAAAAGAACACAATTGAAATTTTCTAGGCCATCCGAAAAGGTGGACCAAAAGTCAGATTCGTGTGAATGGGACAAGAATTGAAAATTTTTGTGTCATCCAAAATGGTGGGACCGGTGTCAATGTCACAAATAGTAAATGTTTAAAGAAGATTTGTGGATGTGCCCAAGAAAAAAGTAAATGAGGCTGATTTTATAAAAAGTTAGGAGTTAATGGAAAAACCATGACTTTTTCTATTAAGTTATTCTTTTTGTGTTAAGTAAAAGTGCTCGTTTTTTTTACATTAAGTAAATAAAACACTCATACTTAGCCATTATGGATTAAGTAGTGTCTCCTTTAAGTAAAAAAAAAAAACAACAATGTAACATTAGTTCTTTTGCAGGTTAACTCCACGACTTCTCCACAAATGTGGGAGTTGAAAATTTAATTGCTTCATCAAGAAGAGAATGTTTGTTATTGTTTGGCGGCTTGAATTGAGTAATTTGTCGAGAGCATAAAGTGATTATTTTTTGTCATATTTTTTTTATCAACTTGTAGCATTTTTTGTTACATATATGGTATTTGGTATGGTTATGTAGATTCCCAACCTTATAGGCTTGAAAATGAGTAATTTGTCGAGAGCATAAAGTGATTATTTTTTGTCATATTATTTTTTATCAACTTGTAGCATTTTTTGTTACATATATGGTATTTGGTATGGTTATGTAGATTCCCAACCTTATAGGCTTGAAAATTGGCATAACATGCCCTTGGCTTGGCTTTTTATATATGGGAAAATGTCACTGTTGCCTCACGAACTTACACATTTTGGTTTAAAAGCTCCATATTGTTATTTTTTGGTTTTATAAGGGTATGAATTCACATTTACCGACTTTTAAGGCCATTTTCTAGAAAGTGAAGGGGTCACCCGGTATTTGGTGTGTTTTTAGTTTCACTATTGTTAAAAAAAAGAAATAAAGAAATCCAATTGCTTGGATTGTTTGCAAAAGAATTATTCATGAATCCCGTGAACTAAATCAACGAGGTAGTTTTATTTTTAACCTAAAACATCCACAACTTTTATATTTAACCTAAAATAGCAACATCGCTTAAATTTTAACCTAAAACAACCACACATTCCTATTCTAATAAATAAATAGATTGATTATCCTATTGACAAGTCATAATATTGCAATTCCTCATTAATATTTTGTTACTTATCACGCCACTTGTCAACCTATTAATTATTCATTTTAAATTTTAAATTTTAAATTTCCTGCTCTAACTACATTAAATTAATAATTGATTCTTAATTTTAAATTTAAATTTTAAAATTTTTCATTTTAATTATATTAAATTAATAACATTATTAAAAATAAAAGAAAATTAATACAAATTATAAAGTGATATAACTTCATGTATTTATTTAAATCAACGAATAAAATTTTATAACTAAAAAAATCTCTTAAGTAATAATTTATTTAAAATAATTGATTAATAATTTTGATTTTTTAATATTAAACTTTAATTAATTTTATAACCGTGGTTCTCACGGGTTATAAACTAGTACATTATAAATATAAATTTAGTTGTAAATGGTATTTTTTGCTATATTACTTATTCTTTGTTCCTAAAACAGAAATAATCGTTGAAGAAATTATATATATATATATATATATATATATATATATATATATATATATATATATACACACCCACTTTTGGTTTGTGTGTGTAAAATACTATAGCTAATAGCTAAACTAGGTGTGATACCCATGTATTACATGAGTTTATTTAAAATAAAAATTAAATAAAATTCTAAACATTTAAAAAGTTTGAATTTATAAGAAAAGTGAAAAAAATATTGAATTATAAAAATTAAAGTGTTTTTTTCTCTTTTAAATTTAAACAAATAATTTAGATAAGTAAATAAAAGGAATTAATAAAACTTTAAATTGGTAATTTTTAAATTAAAAGGAAAGTTTATTAATGAAATTGATATGCATTTATTAGTACATGTAATATTATGTAGAATTTAATAAAATAGAAAAACCATAAAATGACATGTGGAATAAAAATTAATTTAAAATTACCACAAAATTACATGCGACAAAATGAATGAGAATGTGACATGTGACAAAAAGATCTTTATCTATTAGAGTAATGTGCAAACGTTTATATTTTTCAGCTACAGCCCTTATATTTTTATAAATTATTTAAAAATCATCCAACTTATATCTAAAAGTACTACTACTTACAATGCATAATATACAATTTTTTTTACGACTCCTATATTTTTATGGATTATTCAAAAACCATCCATCTTACAAAAATAGTCTATAAACTCTTCTCCACTTTACTTATAATGCACATTGAACTACTTTTCTTTTTACAGTTATGGCCATATATTCTTATGGATTATTCAAAATACATCCAACTTATAAAAATAGTTTTTAAACACTTCCTAACTCTTGATAAATCACCATACATTCATTTCTTTTAATATTAGTGTTTTTTTAAAGTTGTGATATGCTATATTAATTTAATCAATTCACTTGCTTAATACGTAAGAAAAACACACGTAAGAACCCGCGGTAAACACGGGCTAAAATACTAGTTTTTACTATAACCAAACCAAGCTAGCTTTAACCGAAAAATATCAAATTTTTTAAACTCAATTTCACTTTAACAATACCACACAGTTATCCAAAACCAATCAAAATCTGGACCTATTTTTAGAAAGCCGAAACCTGTTAAATGAGCACCTAACTTTGGACAGGTAGGAACTTAAAAGGCCCAATTGAGTTATTGTAGATTTAACTAAAGCCCAATAATATGGTCTTTCTCTGTAAAGTGTAAACCACTGCGCCCTCCCTCTCCATTCCGTCCTCTGTGCGAATTAGCTCCCGTCGTGGCCGCCAACAGCATCTCTCTCATTCTTCGTCGGCATCACCTCTTTCCAAGGTATCTTTATGCTTGCTTCGTGTAGCTCGTTGCTTAAGCAATATGTATGTTACGATGCCATAGCTAGTGATTATCAGCTTAAGTATTCCTGATCTCGCCGCCTGAGAAAAATTATGTTATTTCTAATCTGTTCGACTTGATTGCCTATACTTTCGGATTTCTAGGAACTTTTCCTTGCAAATTTTCGAAATGTGAAGTAGTTTTGTCCATTGCTTACTAAATAGAATCCCCCAATTTATTGTTAGAAAACCTAGATACGTTTCATATACACTGCACTTTGTAAACCTTATTTCATTAGCAGTCTGATGGAGAAAATCGAATAACCACGGAATTCCATTTCCTCTCCCGTTTTCCACTGATCCGCGTGTGTACATGCCTGATTTTTTTCTTCTTAGCATGACATTCATCCTACCAATAGATGTTTGTATTTGTGTTCTATCTATTATTCCAATTTTTAAACTGTGTCTGCTGTTAAGTTGTTGTTTACAACGATTTGATTTCTGCAAACTATTAGGTTTTTCCGTAACTTTATAATTGTTAAACATGGATTGTGTGGGTGTATTGTACTTGAAACTTGAGAATTTCTTTTCTTGTTTATGGAAAAACAAGGATTGAACACTCTGTCAGTTGGTCAAGATTTACCTACTCTGGAGCAGCTGCCTATGAACCCTTAAGTTCCTACTTTTGGTTTTGATGATACAACTTATACCCACTACAAAGTATTGTTTGCATACAATACTTAAGTTGAAAGAAGGACATGGCATACAGTACATTATAAACCTAGACAATATAGTTGTTATTTATGATTTAAAGTGATTCAATTTTGCACTTGTCTTGAGGAACAGGAATATTAAAGCGGTGGAGTGAAGAATGCAAGCAGGTGAAGGTGCCCTATCTGTGATGGGCCCACGCCCAATGGATTTATTCAGCATTACTCCGTATAGTGGGAGCAAACAAAGAACATCAAGTTTATTATCACCAATCATGCTGCTGACAGGTCACCAGAGTGGCATATACACCATGAAGTTTAATCCATCAGGAACAGTGGTGGCTTCAGGGTCCCACGACAGAGAAATCTTTCTATGGCACGTAAGTGGGGAATGCAAAAACTTCATGGTTCTAAAAGGTCACAAAAACGCCATCTTGGATCTTCAGTGGACCACAGACGGGTCCCAGATAATCTCCGCGAGTCCAGACAAAACCTTACGCGCATGGGATGTGGAAACCGGGAAGCAGATCAAGAAAATGGCGGAACACTCGTCCTTCGTGAACTCATGCTGTCCCTCGCGCAGAGGACCTCCGCTGGTTGTGAGCGGCTCAGACGACGGCACCGCCAAGCTGTGGGACCTCCGCCAAAGGGGCGCCATCCAGACATTCCCAGATAAATACCAGATCACAGCGGTTGGTTTTTCTGATGCCTCGGACAAGATCTACACGGGTGGAATCGACAACGACGTGAAAATATGGGATCTGAGGAGAAACGAGGTGACAATGACGCTTGAAGGTCACCAGAACATGATAACGGGTATGCAGCTAAGCCCTGATGGGTCTTATCTTTTGACCAATGGGATGGATTCTACGCTTAGGATCTGGGACATGCGCCCTTACGCCCCACAGAATAGGTGTGTGAAGATAATGGAGGGACACCAGCATAATGTGGAGCAGAACCTTCTGAAATGTGGGTGGTCCCCTGATGGGAGTAAGGTTACGGCTGGAAGCTCTGATCGGATGGTGTATATTTGGGATACCACTTCAAGGCGGATACTTTATAAGCTTCCTGGTCACACTGGATCGGTTAATGAATGTGTGTTCCACCCAACTGAACCCATCATTGGATCTTGCAGCAGTGATAAACAGATATATCTTGGGGAGATCTGAATTTTCTTTTCTTCACTTCAATGGGACCAATGTGTTTGTGTTTGTGTTTGTCAATGTGAATTCTCTCCATGACTTTATGCTTCTCTGAGTATTGTTTTGTGTACTGTTTCACTTGCTTACTCTTTGTAGTTTAGGAATTGATGGAAATCTGTCTTAGTTGTATATGTGGGGTGGATTATCTTTTTCTATTCCAGTGGTTATGATTGAATCAGGAATGAAATAGAATGATTTGTTGCATTACAAGGGAGAATAAATTGTTTATTTTCTTTGTGGAATCGATGCGATCCATTTAGTTTTTACTTTCAGTATTTTAATCTAGGGGTGCTTTTTACGTTCTATCATGAAATGAAATAGAACATGTCTTTTTAACTGTTATTTATTAGTTTTAATCTGATGTAAAAAAACATCAATCTAGGTAGCTGATTAATCGGCACGAAAATGCTAAACGGTCTCTAACCGCTTACGATTAATGCTAGTCGGTCTTGATCCTAATCTCCTTAATCGGCCAAAATTTGTCTAACAAAATTAAAAGCTCAAAATTAACAAAAAATAGTCAACAAAAGTAGAAAAAAAGTCAAGAAATCGATTTGAAAAAAGTATAAAATTAAGCAATAGTTGCCACTTCTCACTAAGGTATTGTTTGTTTTTTCTGAGGCAAAATGTCTGCAGTCTGCGGACCACATCTGTAGACCTCTGCAGTAGAAGGTGTGGACCAAACGTCTGTAGTCTGAAAAAAGAAGACTGTTTGTTTTTTTAACATCTGCGAGCTACTAAAATAAACTGAAATCTAAATAAACTGATTTTTTTAAACTTCAAAGTGTTTTTTTAATATTTTTATGACTTTGTTATAAATAATTAACAAATCTATATCAACTTTTATGTATTATTGTATAAAAAATAAAAATAAAAATGATATGAATTAACGTATATATTTGATAAAAACCAACAACTTTGGTTGCAAAGTTATAACTAAACATTATAATTAAGGATCAAAGAATTTGATACATAAATGGATGAAAATAAACTTCGATTTTTTCAATTAAATCAATTAAAAACGTAGCATAAATATTTTCTTGAGAAATTGACGATAATGTATTAAATAATGTTTTACAAAATTTAGCAAAAAAATATAAGAATATATTATGATTTTTTTTTCGTATTTATATAAACAACTTCAACGACTATTATTGTAATAAATCTTTATTTATAAATTTGTCAAAAATATCATGTTTGTATCGTCGAACATTTTTTTTTTAAGTTTTCTAATTTTTTTTTTCAAATTTTTTATCATTAATAAAGTTGGAAAAATATAAATAAAAAAAAATTAAAAAAATATAGATATATGTGTTTTTTTAGTCTAGAAGATGTCTGAAGATGTTAGAAGACTCTGGTCCACATCTGCGCCAAGAAAAGGGTGCGCAGACATTTTTAGGTCTGCAGTCTTCAAAAAAACAAACAGTCTGCGAAGACTAATGTCTACGCGTGGTCTGCGCGGCGCAGACAGAAGAGGCCACGCAGATCTGCAGACAAAAAACAAACACCACCTAAGTCTCTTTTCTTTTCATATGATTGAGACACTTTTTGCTCTCCTCATATCAATATCGACATTGGTCATGGATTTAGTTTACGATCATACTCGACTTAAATGCTTAAACACTAGATTATGATTTTTATGGTTATTTATTTATTTTGTTAGGATATATGTAATATTGATTTATTTTTAAATAATTTCCTTTATAATTTAGGGTCTCCGATTAATTCACCCTATACCGTTTAATCTTTTGACCCCACTCGACCAACTAGCTACTGTTGAACGTTTTTTACAACCAAGGTTTTAATCGACAATCTCTCTCTCTCTCTCTCTCTCTCTCTCTCTCTCTCTCTCTCTCTCTCTGTGTGTGTGTGTGTGTGTTAACTTATAATTTTTTTATTTTATAAATAAATAACAAAATAACAATATTTCTATTACTAGTAAGATACCCACACGATGTGGCGACACTAAGTAGTTTTTTTCGGCAATTAGTTTCCGGCAGCGATTAATTTTCTTTCGGCAGTTTGTTGCAGGCTAAAAATAAAAAGATGAAACTCATTCTAGATAGAGATGATTGAGGGGTTTATTCGGCATGCCATTAGTTTTCTTTATGAAGAGATTAGTTTCCAATCGAAATATAGTTTACTTTCAGAAAATATTATATTTCAAAAAAATGCAATGTATCAACAAATATCATTACTTTCTACAGTTTTCTTTAGGATTTAGGTTTAAGGTTTACACTTTACAACTTTAGGATTTGAAGTTTGAGGGTGTGCATGGCTTACTTACATACTCCCTTTGTCCCAATATTATTGTCCACAGACAAAAAACACACAGATTAAGAAAAACATTAATTACCACTAACTTTATATAATAAAATGACAGTTTTGTCCTTACTTTGCATTTAATGTTCCATTAAATGCTTAGTTGGTTAAGTAATAATGAAGGGGTATTTTGGTAAAAATGTTATTTATTTTTAGAAGTGGACTATTATTTTGGGACAACCCAAAAATGAAAGATGAACAATAATTTTGGGACGGAGGGAGTATAAATTTGTATAAATTTATATTTTATTCCGGATAATAATTTCTTTTAGAGATAAAAATTACATATTTTAAAAATGTAGTATGCGCATTGTTTAGATTACACATAATTGTACTTTGTGTCTAATTGTTATGGATATATCGTAACATATTAAAATAGTACTAACCCCTGATAACATTTATTAATTTCATAGTCTGTAATTAGAAATTAAAAAATGTTTATCCACAATTTAGTTTGTGGTAGATAACAAGTTACATAGTTTGTAGTTTCTTTATTTATACAAAATTACTTATATTTTTAAAAAATGCCTATACTTTTTTTGTTTTTAGTATGACATTGATCAAATTTTGGTCTTATCTAAATTTGTGGGTCTTATTTTCCATTGCATTGGGGTAAATCAAATGGTGATTTATATTTACAATCATTTTTTGTTGTAATTAAATCAAATGGTGATTTATGTTTACGGTCATTTTTTTGTTGTAGTCATCATGTTGTGTTCAGATATTTTTTAAGTTTTTTTTGTTTGCTTTAAATGCTTTTGATTTTATTTATTCAATTCAATTTAGAAGTCACTTGATAGTTGCTAACTGGGTTACAGCTGACTGTGTTAGAAGCTGACTGAGTTAGAAATTCTGACCGAGTTAGAAGTTTTGAGATATACTATCGTATGTAAGAAATTAAATAAATATAAATCATCTATTTATGTCAAATATTTATAAGTTATGAATTATGAACTAAATTGCCATTCAAGATACATGCATAAGTAAATTCCACATTAGTAATATAGTGATGGTCACCACCAACATAAGACAAAGCTTGTCAGACAAAAAACACCATTGAAGTTTAATTCCATTCTTAAATAAATCGTCATGCAATAACGAAAAGCAAATGTTAAGGTTCGAAACTACTTATAGCCAATACGACCGTGACTTTCGTGCTCTTCCTCTTCTTTAAGGAAACAAAAGAGAATCCCTCTTAATAAATAAAAGTATTACCGTAAATATTAGGATTTGTTTTATTCAACTTTACAAATATGTATTTCCATGTGGATCAAGGTTGTCAAATCACGATCTTGATCGTAGGATCATACAATCCTAGCTATAAAAAACCAGTCGGATCGTATACGAATTATATTTAGGGTAAGATCGTAGGATCGTAGAATCGGGATCCAATCCGATTTTACCTTCCCTTGGTTTTTTTTGGAGAAAAATGAATTTACCATTTTATGTTTTTTATCCTTTATCAGTTTACTGTTTATTATTTTATGTTATGAGTTGTAACTAATGTTTTGAAGTTTTTATAGCTTTTGAACGGAAAACTGAATGTCTGAGATATTTTTCATGTTTTAAAATTATAAGTTAAAATTATGTTTTATTTTGTGGGATCTTAGGATCTCGATCCCGATCCCAATCTTACAAACCTAAAAACGATCCTACATAGGATCTCGATTTTGACAAGCTTAATGTGGATATCTAAATAAAGGTAAATTGGGAAGTTGAGTGGTCATTTTGTGAACATAAAAATTTTAAATTGTACAAAATGAGAGAAAATGGGTCATTTGGAGAAGAAACTATAATTTTGTAAAATTGAGTGGTCATTTTGTGAATATAAAAACTTTAAATTGTACGAAACGAGAGAAAAAAAATGGTCCCAAACTTCCAAAGTGTAGACCCAACCAACGGCAAACCTCCGACCCAAGCCACTTCCCCTCAATCAGAATTCAGACTCCACCATCACTAGACGTGATACCCCACTCCGATATTGCACTTACGAGGTAAGCATGATAGCATTCGTTTCTGTACATTCAGATGTCTGAACCTTTTATGTTCAAAAGTTTATTTGCTTTCACTTCGAAATTTGAAACTGCAGACGTTTAGTTGTTGATCGTTTTAATTTGATAATCTAGTTGCTTGACGCATTTGACTAGAAATTGTGAGCGTTGAAAATTGAAATCCTGATTATTTAGATTACTGGATTGGAAACCCTAGTTAGGATGGTATCTCATGATTTCAAGTCAATGTGTTAACTTCGGCCTTACTAAATTGTTGATCTATGACGTCATGAACGATAGGACAACCAGTTAATCTGACGATGGTGACCATTTTTTTGATCTCACTACAGGACGATTTTTGAAGTCAGTTAGACTATGGGTGATAGCCAGTACTCTTTCTCTCTAACAACTTTCAGGTATAATCTACATGCCAGTTTCTCCAATGGTGATCAACTTTGATTTCACTTGAAATTGCAAAATTGCTAGAACCCTTCATCTTATCACTACTTCTTGTTGGCAGTCCTTCTGGGAAGCTTGTTCAGATTGAACACGCCCTAACAGCTGTTGGCTCTGGTCAAACCTCTTTAGGAATTAAAGGTGATTACACTTTACAAGCTTGCATTTCTTGTTATAATAAATTTCTATAGCATGATGCCATGATGGGATATCATTTGAGGCTTGAGCAACAAGTTTACTATTTGGAAATTCGTGGTATAAAACTCTATTTGCATCTGGTATAATTTAAGTGATGACTTCAAATTTAGGATCATTTTTCTACAACTATTAGAATCTAGCCATGGCTGCTGTGCTGAAATTGTTTCCTATTCTTTATTGTTCTATTGCTTACATGTTTTACCTGTTGATTGCAGCTGCCAATGGTGTTGTAATTGCGACAGAAAAGAAATTACCATCCATTTTGGTTGACGAAACATCTGTGAGTACAAATTTCCTTCTTTTATTTTTTACTAAAACCATAACAAGAGGGTTAGGTTAATCTTCGATTCTAAAATCCAATTTTGTTGACTTCAGGTGCAAAAGATTCAGATATTAACTCCTAACATTGGGGTGGTATATAGGTATGTTTCATAATATCTATTAACATGGAATAACATGACACTGCAAAACACTACATAAAAAAGTTTGTTGCTATTTTCTTTACTACTGCAGTGGCATGGGGCCCGATTCTCGAGTTTTGGTTAGAAAAAGTCGGAAGCAAGCTGAACAGTATCATAGACTATACAAAGTATGTGGCTATTTTCTGCATGAATTTGAACCACATTTCACATACACTATACAAAGTATGTTCTATGTTGGTTAAAAAGGTTATGATTCTGGTATTTGCAGGAACCAATCCCAGTTACACAACTTGTGAGGGAAACTGCTGCTGTTATGCAAGAATTTACTCAGTCAGGGTAAGTAGAGTTACTTATTTAACAAAAGTAATTCAAATACTTAATTCAGTCTACTGATATATAGTTGCCTTTTTCTTGTAGTGGTGTAAGACCTTTTGGTGTTTCACTTCTTGTTGCTGGATTTGATGACAAGGGTCCTCAACTATATCAGGTATTAGCTAAATTGAGATGCTCTTTTTCATGATTTTATGGCTTTAATTGTTTCAAAATGTATATTCCTGTCCTTATTGATATATAACCAAAAAATCACCCTTTTTCAAGTATATTATTATTTCACTAAAAATTCAAATACATATGTATCCCACAGGTGGATCCCTCAGGTTCATACTTTTCCTGGAAAGCTTCAGCCATGGGAAAGAATGTATCTAATGCCAAGACGTTTCTAGAGAAGAGGTATACCATTATAGTTTTTAATATATAGGGTTAAATGCAAGAAATAACAATGTATTTTTTATTTATTTATTATAATTTATAGCATCCTACTTTATTTATACATATTACAGTATTGTACTCTACAGAATCTACCGAATTATAGCAATAATACCAGCGAATACAATGCAATTTTCACTGCTATAATAATGTCTTAATAAGAAAAAAAAAAATCAAAAGTACAATGCTAATAATGGTATGTTTTTTCAAAGAATTGTGTTAATAAGAAAAACAAATGAAAGTAAATTGCTATAATAGAAAGAAATGAAAGTAGGATGCTATTATACAAAAATAAATAGAAGTATGTTGCTTTTTTTAGGTACACCGAGGATATGGAACTTGATGATGCAGTACACACCGCAATTTTGACATTAAAGGAGGGGTAATTATCGTCCTTTCTTCATTCTTATTGCTAATCAATACAAAAGATAATAAAACCAAATTAGTTTCGTATTATTTCACGTCAAATGTTTTGAAATGTTTTATAACCTTTATACCCAACACTTTTATAATCCACCATATTATATATATTGTCAGCGTGTAATGTTAAGTTTAGTATTTAGTAAATATGTGTTTTATTGTAGATTTGAAGGACAAATATCTAGCAAAAACATTGAGATTGGGATTATTGGCACTGACAAAGTATTCAGGCAAGTCTTATTTATTGTACATGCGATTTTGATTAATATTTATGTGGCATGCACTTTAGAAACTATTTGTCAAATTACTAAAATACCCTTTAATAAAAGATGGTGTTGTTTCCTTGTTTCAGAGTGTTGATACCCGCAGAAATTGAAGACTACCTACAAGAAGTCGAATAGTTATTAACTTATTATTTTGTTTTTGGTTGAGCCTCTACAAAATCTTCCGAGAACTTTTGATTTCTTTTTTGGTTGCAAAATTCCTGATCTTTTCTCTCAAAAGTGTTGGAATTTATAATATAGATTAAATGTTCTTTGCTGTTAAATATGCATGGTTCCAGGGTGTCTCTTACAAAAGTTTCATGTTGTAGGCCTTTTAGTTTAATAAAAGTTGATAAACCATGGCAGAATATTTGATTTCATATATTAATGATTAATCATAAGTGTTTTATAGGTGGACAAATCTTAGAAAATGCTTTCCTGAATATCGTTTTGTATTGAAATCAATAATTTTGGCTTGGTTTTTAGATTATATATATATATATATATATATATATATATATATATATATATTATATATATATATATATATATATATATAACGGGAATGAGGTTCATGGGATCTATTGTTTATTGGTATATTATATACTAGTTTATAACCCGTGAGAACCACGGTTATAAAATTAATTAAACTTTCATAGCAAAAACTTAAAATTATTAATCAAATTATTTCAAATAAATTATTTGAAATAAATTATTAATTAAGGGATAATTTTTAGTTATATAAAATTATAATCGTTGATTTAAATAAATACATGAAATTATTCACCTTATAATATATATTAACTTTATTTTATTTTTTATTTTAATGTAATTAAAGTGTGAAATTTAAAATTTGAAATTTGAAATGAAAAATCAATTATTAATTTAATGTAATTAGTGTGAGAAATTTAAAATTTAAAATTTAAAATGGAGAATTAATAGGTTGACATGTGACATGATATGTGACATATAATATTAATGAAGATTTCTAATATTGTGACACTTGTCAATACGAGAATAAACTTATTCATTTATTAAAATAGAGAGAAGAGATTTATAATGAATTGGAATTTATAATATTTTTGGTTTTTGTTCAAATCGATGAAATATAAATTTTAAGTAATATTATTATTGATTTTAATACAACTCTTATTTTTCTTACAAAGATATCAATACTTATATATTATTGTAATCAATGATGGATAAATTTGAAATCTTGAAGGATCTACAATCATCATCCTCTTTTATTTCTATATTACCACATCAGAATTTACTAATTATATTTAACAAAAAATCTATAATGGTTTTTAGATTGAATATATATATTTAAAGTTTATTATGTTAAAGAAAACATGAAAGTTTATAATTAATTAACCATTTAGTGTGATTATAAAGTACTATCATTATAATAATGATAATTTTATATTTATTAAAACACATTAAAAGTTTAATGCATTTAGATATACCTACTTACAAATGATTCGATCACTTTAACTTTTTCTTTATTGATTAATTATATAAAAACCATAGGAACCTCGTATTTCTTTTGGTTTAACCCCCTAAGAAATTCTTTTACAATATAACCATAAAAACTTTATAACCATTACAAAATACACTCCAACCGGAGTAACATTCTTTTATAAAACAATTATTTCGATAATAACATTATATTTGTATATTATTTAGGTTATTTTTCTTATTTACCTTATTATTTTATGACAAAAGTATTTATATTCATTCACAAATGAAGTAAAATTACCATTTTTCACTAAATAAACAGGTACCATAATAGTAGAACCAAATCACCTTTAAATTCCAATGATACTTCCCAACAACTATTTTGATTTTTGAAGAACATAATTTTGACATTTCATTAAGTTTTTTTTAACCTTTCGCCTCTAAAATCTCCAAAACAAGATCACACATGAAAAAGGTCGAAAGATTGGCATCAAATCGCAACTGGAATTTTTAACAATCCTCATCGCACTGTTCATCCAACACAAATTACCCCTTTAATTGCACAATCACGTTCGTTGTCATCGTCATCGTCATCAATCATTATTATTTTATTAAATTTTCTTTTAGTAGTAAAATAATATGACCTTCAAGCGATCTGAACCTATAGTCCAAGAACCCAAGGTACTCCATTGTTTGGCCTTCCCAGATTTAGCTAAGTATCTGCCTCCTTCCCCAACAGAAAAGGACAACCCTATGACTGCCTTCATCAAGCTCGATGATTCTCCGATGTTCCAAAAGCAGGTGCTTTGTGTTTTTTGTGTTTTTTTCTTTTTATAATTCAACTTGAACTTTGGGGGGTTTTGCTTCCATCTTAATCTACCTGCACGCATGATTATATATATGTAGTTGGTTTTCTATTTTCCATAGATATGGAACCACATGTGGTGCTTCCTTATGAAATGACAATTGTTTGCTGAGTTCAATTTTGTCGATGATACTAGTGATCTAGGGAAAACCTAAAATTGAACGCTATCTGAAGAGTAGTTCGTTTTGGGAATTGCGTATAGATACCTCTTTTGGTTGGAGTAATAATCAAATGTACATTAATAAAATCTCCCAAATCTGGAATGATCTGAAATTGCTTCAACTTTCTGTAAACAGGTGCGTTATCTTGAACAGACAACAGATGAGCTCAAGCTTCGTTGTCAAAAACTACACAAAGGAAGCAAAAAGTATATGTAAGTGGCACAGTTCAATTTTCATCAATCTGATTCTTCTTTGCTGGCATTTCTGGACATGATAGACTGATATTAATGTCAATGTCATTCTCTCACTTATCTCATTCTTCACAGGGATGGTCTTGGGGAAGCATGCAATATGGACCTTCTATTTGCAGACTCAGTGGAGGCTTTTGGTGGTGGACAAGATGACCCTGTCAGTGTATCGATTGGAGGTTAGTTTAATGGTAACCCATCTTGCTTAATCTGTTAATCATATCTTGTTTTTGTTTCTGAAAAGAACTTATATATATATATATATATATATATATATATATATATATATATATATATATATATATGTGTGTGTGTGTGTGATAATGTGATTATTTTTGGTTTTTATTTGGTAAGGTCCAATAATGACTAAATTCGTTAGTGCTTTTCGCGAGATTGAAACGTTTAAAGAGCTTCTTCGTTCCCAAGTAAGTGAACAAATTGCATTTAAAGCTCATGGTAATTTATGGCTAATTAAACTTCTCTATGATAATTACTTGTTCTTTCTATGTGAGATTAACTTGAAACTCTTAAATCTAAGAAACAACTTTGTGTCTATTTGCAGGTTGAACATTTACTCGTTGATCGTTTAGCACAGTTTCTGTCCGAGGATCTGCAAGATACAAAGGTGTGCTTATCTTCTCAGAGATATATATTTTTATTTAAAAAAAAAACTTGTGTTGTTTTTAGTAGAAATGACTAGATGTGGGATTAAGAATGTAGATGAACAAATTACGCACAGGTCACACTGACATTAGTATCCAATATGTCAGCTTGATTTTTATTTGATAATGAGAAAAATCATGAGAGATTCTGTTACAATAGTTGTTAGTGAAAAGTAAGTAACAAAATTTATACACAGAGAATCCTATTTATAGTGGTGACAGTTAAGTCGGTTAAGCACTTCTCCAGTTATGATTTGCCACGTGTCTTTGTAATTTCAAGAATCTCTAAACCCTAAACGCCTTTCAACAAATTAATGTGATTCTTGTTATATTTATTATTATACTTTTTTTTTAATTGTCTTGATAATAGTCAATCTATTCAATCTTATTTTGCTCAGGACTCACGTAAACGATTTGACAAAGCTGCACATTCGTATGATCAGGTATATGGATATGCTTACATATCTTTATTTTTATGCACAAAGTTATAAAGTTAATAAGTCAAATTAGGACATTACATAATAGCGTGTTTGTAGAAAGATATGTCTGTTGCTATAATTCCTTTATTTAGTTCACATTTGTAGTTCGCTTTTAAAATATTGGAAGTATCCATAAAGTTTAAAACATATTGATTTTGTATTATGACTGCAGGCTCGTGAAAAGGTTGCATCTTTGAAAAAGAGTACACGGGATGAAGTTGTTGCTGAATTGGAGGAGGTATTTTATAACCAATTGAGGTTCTCAACTGAGTTGACTCATCAGACATTATGCTCACTATATTAATTTCCTTAATCATGAATTATGGCTTGAGTTGAATGGAATTTTCTAAAAACATAACATACAATATGTGTAAATAGAAGCACAAAAGTATTATCCTAGTAATTCATATACTAAAACATACTTTATACTTGTATTAATCATGAGAATATTTTTTTATTCATAAACCAAAATTCACTTATGACTTGCTGTATAAAGTACATGTACATGAGCTTAAATTTTACTTATTTTTGCAGGACCTACAGAACTCAAAATCAACATTTGAGAGAAGCAGATTCAATCTAGTATGTGTAATAAATATGTAGTGCGTTTTATATTTCCTCTATTGACTATTATTCATTTTTGAGGTTTAAGATTTTCTCCATGGTGTTTTTTAAGGAGTGCAGGTAAATTCTCTCACGAACATAGAAGCAAAAAAGAAATACACATTTTTGGAATCTCTTAGTGCAATAATGGATGCTCATTTGAGATATTTTAAGCTGGTGTGTTACTTTTAAACATCAAATTTATTTTGCATGTGATGTGCTGTCTTTAGACTAACCACAATGTTGACTTTTTAGGGGTATGAACTATTGAGTCAAATGGAGCCTTTCATTCATCAGGTTCTTCTTTCACCATTTCCCTTTAGTAAATTATGACATATATTTTTCGTTTTGTTATATAGATTTTATTTTTCCTAAGGGGCTGTGTCTTTTTCCCCCATAAGGCCTGTTTCTTTTCTAGATTGAATAAGCCATCTTCATGAGACTAAATGACCATTTTACCCTTACAATTAAACAAACAGTTTTCACAATATTCATAAATTTTAATAGTATTCATCAGTTTTAAAGTGAGAGGATTTGGGAGGAAAAAGAAGGGAAAATAGGTAAAGGGTTGGTGTCTGAATTCATTAAGAGAAGGTTTTTTTTGGCTTAACCCATTAAGTCAATTCTATCTAGAACAAGTAAAAAAGAAACAACCATGTATAGCTGTCCAGATTAAGTGCTTAACCCATTAAGTAAAAAAGAAACAAACCCTTAGACCTTAGTTCCTTTAATACTCGTGGAATAACAGAAAATTATCTTTTGTCAACTTATGTGGATCCCACTTGATTTCAGGTGTTGACATATGCCCAACAATCTAAGGAACAAGCAAGTATTGAACAAGATAGACTTGCAAAAAGAATTCAAGAATTTAGGACACAAGCAGAAACAAAGGTCCCACTGCCTATTAATGTGGGACCCACTACAACCACAACTGGTGTTA